GGGGGGGGGGTTAAAATAATTGGGTGTAATTACATGATGTAATTACAAGGCAATCTTTCCAATTCCTTTTTTTTTCTCTTTCAATATTATATTGTTCTTTCATTGGAAACAAAGACGATAGAAAAACCAAAACATCTCTGTTTCACTTCTTCAGTTCCAGCACCGTCTCTGCTCCAGATAACCTTTTTTTCCCCCTTTTGTATTTCATATTTTCTAAATAGTTGATTCCTATTGAACTATTTTATTTATATAACTTCACGTTGCCTTGAGTTATAGTGTTGGAATCTTTACTTTTCGAAGTGTGAAATTTGGGTAGAACAATAATTTTAAATTTGGGCAGATCATTTGTACCTCACAACTAATGCATATAAATACTGTTTCTTGTTATATTCAGTTTTCATATTGTGTAGTGTATTATATTGAAAAGAGAAAAAATATATTTGTATAAAAAAAAGTGGTACTATTTGTGTGTGGAAAGAAATCTTTGTGTTTTCCTTGATTTATGTCATTAAGTTTTCCCTGATTTATGCCATTAAAATAGAAATGGAGAACCTTAATATATTAGAATATTTACTTTAAAGTAAGTTGCTCATCAGCTCTTGGATAATCAATTATCAATTTTCTGTGCAATTATAGATGAATCACTATGCTTTGTTCATATTCTGCCACGTATATCCTTTACCTCTTGTCCGACTTGATTATGCATATATGAATCTCATATACATATTGAAGAATCATATAATTATATTTATGTAGGATGTTAACTAACCAAAACACCTAAGGTAGGAATACCATACACCAAACGGAGTGAAGTTCAAGACGAGCATTTTATTTATTTTATTGCTGAACAAGTTAAGTTAGGAAGAACGCAACAAGGAAGCTTAACAACCGAGGGATGGGATGGTGTAGAAAGAAAAATGAATAAGTTATATGGAGACAAATTAAATAAGACGAAAATGAAAAATAGGATGAGAACCTTGAAGAGAACTTATGCTACTATGAAGAGGATTTTCAAAATGAATTTTTTGAGGAGGAGATAACTGGCGAAAAAATTACTACACCTGCTTCTGAAGATGCGCAGTCTATTGACCATGTATATCTTGATCAAAACATAAGCTTCACGAGTACTGAAACAACTCAATCAATTGGTCAAGATAAGAGAGCAGGAAAAGGACGTTTAGCTGAGGAACAAACTTTGGCATCTCGTCCCAAAAGAATTAGGAACTCTATTGGAATTAGTTTGGCAAAATCTGTTGATAGATGGACAACCATAGCTGAAGAACAAATAAGGCTACAACATGAACCAAAAATACTTCTGCGGAGAAATTAATGTCTTTGATAATGGAACTAGAATTGGACGACACATGGAATACACGAGTTATTGATCTCCTTACAAATTAGAGAAATGCTGAATTCTTTGCTGCTATGGCTCCTCCGCTTAAAAATAAATGGGTCATGCACAAACTTGAATTATATGATTGATGCTGTTAGTGTTGTGCTTTTGTTGTTCGGATGAAGTTATAAATTAGTATCTTATTTTCTTTTGGATTATGTTAACTGTTAATTGCAGACATGAGCACCTTATATTTTTGCTTATCCTTTATATATTATGTGAAAATCATGGATTTTAATCCATCAATGGACCATCAATGCTTTATATAGCTTCTTCCTGTTTTGTTCTTTTCATTAATTGCTACAATGAGCTCCATGGACCTACGCTTATCTTATTTATTTTTGAAAGCATTATGTTTTCTCTTATGCTATTACAGTTGTAAATTTTAATTTTTTCATGTCATATGGGATGGAAAATGAAGACCAATTCATGATGTTCCTTGCAAAATGTGTGCTTTTAGTTAGCATTATTGGAAAATATTTAGGTATTGGACCAAAAGAAAGAGTGCACCACTCAATTTTAACTGGAGTAGAGTTTATTAAAAATTTGATTGAAGGACATTCCCGTGGATGCTATGACCTACTACTTATGAATGTCGGATGTTTCTTACAACTTGCAGATGAGATGAAAACAAGAGGTGTATTACTGATTCAAGAACGGTTAGAGTTGAGGAACGATTGGCCATATTTGTGTTTATATTAGCTCATAATGACAGAAATAAAGTCGTACAAAATCTTTTTCAACATTCAGGAGAAACCATTAGCCATTATTTTAACAAGTGTTTGAAAGCTTGTCTACGATTAGGAAAATACTATGTCAAGCAAGCAGAAAAAGGTGTCCCGCAAGAGATATCGTCTAATCCACTTTTCTATCCTTGGTTCAAGGTTAGTATTTAGTATTACATTCTACACTTATTAACAATATTATTAATTATTTGTGCAATATCTTAAAACTATTGTAAATTTTTGAAGGATTGTATTCGAGAATCGAGCTATCGATGGAACTCATATTCCTGCATTTATTTTTATGGAAGATCAACCAAGATATAGAAATCGTAAAGGAGTTCTTTCTCAAAATGTCCTTGCTGTGGTAGATTTTGATATGAATTTTCAATACGTGCTTGCTGGCTGGGAAAGCTCTGCTTCAGATTCTAGAGTATTAAGAAATGCCGTTTGGGAGAGATCAACAAATAAGTTGAAAATTTCAACTAGTAATTTACAAATAATTCATATATTTATTCATTTTTTATTATCTTTTTTTTATTTAAAATATTGAACTTGTACTTGTAACTTTGTAGGAAAATATTATATAGTTGATGCAGGCTATACAAATACAAAGGGCTTTTTAGCACCTTATCGTGTAGTACGATATCATTTGAGAGAATGGAGCAAAACACAAGCTCCACAAAATGCTCGCGAGCTTTTTTACTTAAGACATTCAAAACTTTGAAATGTGGTGGAGAAGACATTTGCTGTTTAAAAAAAAAATTTCCTATATTGTTAACTCCTCCTCCTTATACTATCAAAAAACAAGGCTGGATTGTGCTAGCATATTGTATACTTCACAATTTTATTCGTAAGTGGAACTGGGAAGATGCATATTTTGAAGAGCACATGGAAAAGGAAATAGAAGATTCTCATAATTTGGATGATATTGATTCAGATTCAGATGATGAAGAACTTGGACGAGGCCGGACTAATATTGACAAACAATATATGTGCAATCTAAAAGATGGAATAGCTCATCAGATATGGTGTGCTAGATCAATTAGATAAAATTTTATATACATCGCTATTATGAGAATTTTGTATGAGAAAGACTTGCGAAAAAAACAATTTATATTTTACTCATTTGTTTTCTAATCAATAACATAAATATTAACTATGAAAAAATATATTTTATAAGCTCATATCTATCTTTTCTTTTTTATTCAAATGAGTTGGTAAGGGATTTTGATTTGTTATTGTAATTTTCATTGTTCTCTTTTAAGTTACAATTTTATTTATAGAAGATACCAATTATTTTTATAATACTATGTATTGCTTTATAATTATTTAATATATTTTCTTATAGAAGAATATATATTTTTAATATATAATAATTTAATATCTATGATACATATAAATATTTATCATACAATGAAAATTATTTACATATTAATTTGAAAAAATATTTATTTATTTATGTAATTGCACTTGTACAACCAAACATGACACATGTAATTACACTGTAATTACATCATGACAAACAAACATGCCATTATAATTACAATACTATGTAATTACCAGGTTGTGTGATTACTACCCTACTAATTACACAGCCAAGTAATTACGCAGGGCTTTCCAAACAGACCCTAAATATATCCAGTTTTTAAAAGGAAAATTTTCGTTCCTATACCATATAGGAAACTATATTACCAAATATGTTCATAGTTTGCATATTACCCTTCATGCTAATAGTATTTTTACAAAATATAGACAATGCATTAAATAAGGGATCATTGTAGCTGTAGGCTTCCTTATTTAGGCGCGCTAAAATTGGGGGATTAAATATTCTTCCAGATCTTCCACAACGCAAATCACGCATATTAATCTTCTTCGTCAGTTTCATTTCAAATTTAGCGTCTCTGTTTTTTCAATACACTATGTTTCAAACTTTTTTCTGATTTCACAAATCGAAAACGACTAAATCTTCTACAATTCTTCTACAACAACAACAACAACAAACCCAGTTTGATCCCAACACAATTCTTCTACATCAAACGCAATTATGTCCAAATTTCAGTAATACAAAGCAAAGGAAAAGAGAGCAGCAATTCCACCATTGACAGCCATTAAAAAGCTTTGAATTCAAATTTGGGTTTTCAAAAATCATTATTTGTTTGGATTGGGTGTTGTTGCAAACAATTGGGAATATGGTTTGGAGTTTATATCTCAATTTTGAGGGGTTTTGGTGAAGATTAGACTTGGTTTTGGCTGAATTTCGGATTGAAACTCGAAGAAGAAGAAGAAGATGAAGAAGACATGACATACATTATTTGCAGAAATAGTAGAAAAATTATATTCTGTAGTTTATTTATTTTTCTTTTATTCATTTAACTATTGTATGAAAGTTGAACAATATTGTATAAAAATTATATTTAAGTGGTATTATATTGTAGTTGTATATAACTTAGTAGAAATAATGTAATTGTAGATAATTTATAGATAAGTTGTATAATATATAGTTAGTTGTATGAAAATTATTTTTACTATGTATAAATCAGATACAAAATATACAAAAGACATATTATATAAATTTTGTATAAAATTTGTATGTAAGTTTTATGTTGTTGTAGTTGTATTTCACTGGGTGGAAATAATGTGTGAAAGTTGTAGAAAATTGTAGATAAGTTGTATTCCTCTATAACGGGAGATGTTGGCATATCAAGTAACTTTAGTGTTCCAGACGAACATGCATGAAAATAAAGATAAATTGTGTTATGAACAGTTTGTAGAAAATTTGTAGATAATTTGTAGAAACATTGAAATTCTGTATTTTCATATTATTTTTTCAAATGATATGCAATTTTATTGTAGAATAAATGTAGAAAAGAAGCCATTGTGAGTCTTATTTGACTCATTCCTCACATTCAACCTATTCTACAAATTCACGCCTCTTTAAATACAATACAACCATACTTTCTTGAATTTAAAGGTATAGCAATCTATATAACTTAAAAAACATCTTCTCCTCTGCACAAGTTAGCTCCAAAACAGACGAAGTGGGATAACAAGCTCCCATCAAAACTTTTAACACAAAAGCTCAAAAATAAATAAATAACAGTCTACAATTTTTCTACAATTGCTGCAATATAATGTATGTCATGTCGTCTTCTTCTTCTTCTTCTTCTTCTTCTTCTTCTTCTTCTTCTTCTTCTTCTTCTTCGAGTTTCAATCTGAAATTCAGCCAAAACCAAGTCTAATCTTCACCAAAATCCCTCAAAATTGAGATATAAACTCCAAACCATATTCCCAATTATTTACAACAAGACCCAATCCAAACAAATAATGATTTTTGAAAACCAAAATTTGAATTCAAAGCTTCAAAGTTTTTTAATAGCTGTCAATGGTGGAATTGCTGCTCTCTTTTCCTTTCCTCTTATATTACTGAAGGAACCCGAAATCATAACCATCAAATCGACCTGGCTTGTGCTCATCTTCCCCGGGCACAAAAACATTGGGACAAGATTGCAGAGGTGCCGACAGTGCCTTGGCTATGGAAGAAATAATGGGATTTTGATACAGAAATCATGGGTGTGGGAGGGAAACGTGGGTGAAGGTGTGAGAATTGGAGAGAGAAACGTGGGGGGAGTGGTATTAGAAGGAATATACGGTACCATTAAATTAGGAGTGTAATTAATACCCTTAAAAACCACTAATGGTATATAATTGGTAATTAGGTATACTAAATGTAATTATATCAAACCTTAAACATTGAGGGTAATATAGTTTCCTATATGGCATAGGAATGTAAAAATTCCTTTTTAAAAACTATTTAAAGTTCAACCAGCTTTGACAAACTTGAGACTGCTCAAAACTTCACGGTTGAAGTTAGGCTTTTACAGAGCTTAACTTCATATTGACAAGCCGAAGTTGACTTTTAGGTGATTAAACTTTGGAATTTTTACCTCCTATAGCAAAAGTTGATACCTTATTTATTTTAAATAAATACCCTTTTTAAAAAATTATATTCCAGCTACTGTATTGGGAAAAAAGTTGAATTTATATTGAAGATGACGTGGCATGACACGTGGACTGGACAAGTGGTCAAAGCGTAACAGTTGGGAAAAAGGTACGGGAAATAACAGGTACGGGAAGAAGAAATGAAATAGGCACGAGAAGCAGTTTAGACACGAGTCTCGAACCAATTCGAAGTCATTTAAAGCCAGCAGGTCGAAAGGCATTGAAGACATGAATCTGAAGACAAAAAGGAGTCCAAATTCAGTATTAAATACCTGATACGTTAGAAAATTGGTATTTAATAGGAATGATTGTGTAACGGCTCATTTAATGTCATTTATTGTCTATAATCGTCTCATTAAAGCTTAGATTTATTTCCTTTACCTAGAATCAACTATAAAAGGAGGAAATTGTATTGGAAAAAGGACATAACTTATCTCATACTAAAATAAGAACTTTTGCTTACTGCTTTATTATTATTCACAGAAAGCCTATTATTATTTTGGTCTCTTGATTATCAGTAACCCGATTTTTCATCTCCAATTCTAACATTATCCAAAAAATTTATTTCTTAGGCGAAACAGCTACCTTTTTGATTTTTATAGCCAAATATCTATTTATGGTTACCTCCTACCCTTAAGCCATAAAATACTCTTTGTATTATTTTTCTCACTCATTCTTTCATATTTTTGCCGCTTTCTTCTCCTCTTTTTCTTCCTTGTTATTTCCTTGTACGCCACCAAAAACCTATAAGCTTTCTCCTTCTTCTTCCTTTCTACTTTCAGAAAATTAGACAAAGCCCCAAATTCAAAAAATGACATCTTTCGCAGAGGCACCACCGGGGAACGAAGCAGCAGGGGTAAAGATCTTCAAGACCAAGTGTGCTCCAAATTTTGAGAGTTTCGAGTCAGAATCGCGGCCCTCTTGACGAGACGACATTAGGATTGTTCTTGAACAAAGATGACGGAGTTTGGGGCTGAGCAACTTGAAAGAGTTGAGGGTTTTTGCTCGACGGCGAATTCGCCGGAAATTAGGGTTTGTTCTTGAACAAAGAAGACGGAGTTTGGGGCTGAGCAACTTGATTTTCTGTTAATATATTTCAATGTATTTTCGACGTATCACGTTGTATTTTCATGTATTTCATTGTATTCATTGTCTTTTTTTCATTGTAATTCAATGTATCTCGCTGTATTCCATGTATTTCATTGTATTCACTATCTTTTTTTCATTGTATTTCAATGTATCCCGTTGTATTCTATGTATTTCATTGTATTCATTGTCTCGCTATATGCCATGAATGTATTCATATATTTTTTTAATTAATATAATTTATGTATTCAGATGTATTATATAATATTTTGAAGATTGCTATGTTTTTGGGGTATTTTTCGGTTGAGAATCTTTTTTATAACTGGAAAAATAAATTTTGTGTGTTATAATTGAGTTTGTTGAGTTATATTAGGAGTCTATTATGTTAATTGATTCACTTTTCGTTTAAAAATAGTGTAATCCCCTGTTTCACGCCGTGAATACAGTCGAATACAATAATCTGTCCAGCTGTAATTCCATGTTTCACGCCATGAATACAGTCGAATACACTCGAGTACAACAACTGATTAGTTGGACTTCCCTGATTCACGCCTATTTTTGCTACTGTATTCATGAATACAATAGCTTAAATACATCTAATACATCTTATAACAACAGAAAACGTATCTACAATCCGTAATATAGCAAATGGTATCTATAGATAGCTAATTACCACTAAAAGATAGTGCTTTATGAAAATTTCTCTTAAACTTTTAACACTTTATTAATTTCGAATATTCTTTAAATAAGGGTCCTAAAAACGGCTATTTGTGCACTATCCCCTACATCCATGGGTTTATTTACCAATAATGGGGTCAATATTATGTTCTATGAAAGAATTATCAAAATAGTCGTTAACCAGTTGCTTAAATTAAAAATAATCATCGTATGTATAATATATGTATAAATAGATATACCTTAAAAAAAAGTAAATAGTAAATCGGAGGGCTATTTGTGCAAACATCTCTATCTGAAAACCCAACCCATTATTTCAGCATTTATTCTCCGACACTCTCTAATTCCCTTCACTGTGGTTTTTGTGCATAGCAGAGAGGAGAGAAAGAAGCGGGAAAAGATGCAGAAGAGACAGAGCGGAGGCGGAGCAGCCGGTGGCTCCGCCACTCCGGTAGCAAAGAGAGGCCGTCCGGTCGGCAGTGGAGGCAGCAACGCTGCCGCTGCATCTGCTGCCTCCAGTGCTGCCGCCGACTCGGTAGCTCCCCCAACACTCCTCGGCCCTTCCCTTCATGTTCATTATGCCTTCGCTGGTTAGTTGCCTTTATCATATGTGTATTCTACTGAATTTTGAAAGCGTAGTCCTTAAATTGATAGCCTTAGAATGGTTTTACAAGTGTAATTTGAAGTAAATTATTACTCCCTCCATCCCAAATTAACTGTCACTTTAACTCAAAAAATATTATCCCAAATAATAGTCACTCTAGGAATTCAAGACTGAATTTGTTAATTGTTTCCAACTACATCCTTAATATTAAAGAAGTATATTAGTTCTTTTTAATACTGCTCAATAATCAAACTACATTTAATAGGTGTAACTTAGTAAATATATCTTTTATTTTATTGTTTTCTTAATGAGCATGAAAAGAGCTAAAACAACAGTTAAAATAGGACGGAGGGAGGTAAAAGTTTGAGCGTTTGTACTATGAGTTGCGTTATGTATGACGGAAGATGTACCTTGGAATAGTCTTCTCAGGGTTTGGCACTATTGAAGCATTTAATAAGTAATTGCAGGTAACTCTATTTAATAAGCATTGATTGACAAACCAATTGCTTAAAAGAACATTGATTGGTAACCAATGATAAATGGTAAGTAACCTCAGAGGCGAGCCAGGGTTTTGTATTTTAGAATGACGACTTCAAGTGTTAATAACTGGGTTCTAAACTTAATATTTTTACATATTTAATGAATTATTAACATAAATATACTGTTTGAGCAAAAACTACTGGGTTTGGCCGAACCATAGCCGGGCTTCTAGATCCGCCCAGATAACCTGCTATAATAAATCTTAAAGCTTTTGTATGCCTTTTGCCTGTAATAACACAGTTATCACCAAGTGTTTTAGATGGAATTCGAAGTTGGGTTCTTCAGGTTGTTACTCCTCTAGGAAATCCCTTTGGGAAAAGAACTTTACTCTTCTAGTACTCTAACTGTAACATTCCAACAAGTTGGTCAACACAATGTAAAAATATTTAAGTATTTTTTGATCCACATAAGGTACCATTGGCGTAAGATGAAACATGATTCATGTAAATTGAAGGCTTTTCGGAAAAATTAATTGAGCCGTTGAATTTGAGGAAATAATACAGGCATTTGTAGAAGATGATGATGTGGAAAATATGTTGCATTTTCCAGCTGCTTATGCTTATGACAATCTTTTATTCTTCTTTACAGAACAGAATAATAAAAGGATTGTTCTGGCACTTCAAAGTGGATTGAAGAGTGAGCTGACGTGGGCATTAAACACTCTCACTTTACTATCATTCAAAGAGAAAGATGAAGTCCGGAAAGATGCAACCCCTCTTGCCAAAATTCCTGGGTTGCTGGATGCTCTACTTCAAGTTGTATGTTTCTCAATGTTTGCAGTGCAACTTGCGGTTCATAAGTAACTTTTTATTAGTTTACCCTATTTACTGTCATAGTGATGGCATTGATCTGTTGAACAGATAGATGACTGGCGTGATATAGCCTTACCAAGGGTGCTTGTCAAGACACCACGTGTTCGACTCTTGGGTGCAAATTCAGCTGTTACTGGATTTGGAAATGAATATGAGGCCTTGAACTCAAATAATCCCTTATCCCATCCTAGGTAATTCAGCATGCGCCTTCGCCCCCTCCATCTTCTTCTGGTTTCCTTTGGTTGTAAATCTTAATTTTCCGATGCACGAGATCTGCATTGCAGAATTCCTAGCCTATATCTAATTGCCTGCATTACTTAATCCATTTATCCTTGACCACAGTGCTGGATCTGGATCTTCCAAAGAGGCATCTTTTCATAAGAGTACTTCCAAGACTCGCCCTGGAGCCTGGAGTTTTGAAGAAGATGGCCTATTTAATTTGGATGAGGAGGGGCGGGCAGAGAAGCAGCTGTGTGCTGTTGCTGCTTCAAACATTATCCGCAACTTCTCTAACATGCCAGATAATGAAGTCATCATGGCGCAGCATAGGCACTGCTTGGAAACCATATTTCAATGTCTTGAAGATTATGTTACAGGTGGGAAATAGATTTAGACTTAATGTTTTAAGTTTTTCTGTGTTCGGTTGTCATCTATCATGTGGTGTTTTGTATTATGTTCTTATCTAAGACATTTGCTGTATCTTCTGAAACTATCTTCCTGGTTATAATTGAGAAGAATGTTGATCGTTAATGATGTCTGTAATTGACTTGTTAGACCAATAAATACTGTTGAGAAAGTTCCTCTCATTGAAGAGGGAAAGTCTCCTGTTTATTCCTCGGAAACCTCCCTAAGAATTCAGCACATTCCAAAGTTCTCATAGTCAAATTCCCTAGCTGTTTAGTCACCCTTTTACTGTTGTTACTTGTTAACCTATTGAAAGTGTATGACTTATGTGGCTTCACTCTTATCCTTTCCGATGAAAAGCATCAATTTGAGATTCATGTGATTGCTTGGCATAATCTTAAAAAAATTGCTTGAACTCTGTTGGAGTGACGAATACATTGACTTAGTCTAGCCATTTTAGTTGTTTCTTAGTCTTAAAATACCGTCTTGCCCTATTCTATATTTTCTTATAATGTTGTATATGAATTTGCATGGCATGCCCTTCCGCTAGAATTCTTTCGTCTTTGGTTATCTTACCATCTTATTCCTAGCATGCCTTTCGTCTTTTTGTTATCTTACCTTGCTGTTGTTACTGGTTGTGTTACTGTTTCCTTTTGCATCTTTCCTTGAGCCGCGGGTCTATTGAAAACAACCTCCCTACTCTCACAAGGTAGGGGTAAGGTCTGCGTACACACTACCCTCCCCAGCCCCTTGTGGGGTGAGATTTCACTGGGTTGTTGTTGTTGCCCTTCTACCAAAAAATAGAAAAAATAAATAAACCTTTAAAATGGAAAACGAACAAATTACTTGGTCCTATTTCGTGAAGAAGATAGGAGAATGGTATGTGATTTGTTATGCTTGAATGTCAGATGCTCTTGCTTATAATGTTTTCTTGACTCATCCATTTAAAACATGTTCTGTTCTACCTATTCTGATTTTGGACTTCTTATTTGACAGAGGATGAGGAACTTGTCACAAATGCCCTCGAGACTGTAGTGAATTTGGCACTGTTGCTGAATCTTCGGATCTTTAGCTCCTCAAAACCTTCTTTTATAAAAATGACGTAAGCATTTGGCTTGTCAGTTGTTTGCTTTGGTATTATTAGGTCTAATACAAGTAGAGACTTTTTTCTGTAATGGTATTTTCTAAATTGAGTTGTTTGTTCCTTGATCCAGGGAGAAACGTGCAGTCCAGGCTCTCATGGGAATGCTGGGATCTGCCGTGAAGGCCTGGCACGCTGGCGCTGCTGAATTAATTGGTCGTCTTATAATAAATCCCGACAATGAACCTTTCCTACTTCCTTTTGCTTCACAGGTTGATATTCCTTTTGGCAACTGAAATACTATATTTCCGTCTGTACCTTATGAATGCTCAGTAAACTCACTAAACACAATTCATGGGACATGCAGATATATAAACGTTTAGTCGATATAATGAGCCTACCACCTACTGATGCTCAAGCAGCTGCTGTAGGTGCATTATATAACCTTACAGAAATAAATATGGACAGTCGTTTGAAGCTTGCCAGTGAACGATGGTGAGAGAAACTTTTTGACCTATTAATAGGCCATATATTACAGTTACTTTCAATCTGAATGACTTACTCACCGCATATAACTTCAGGGCAATTGATCGACTGTTGAAAGTGATTAAGACACCACATCCAACACCAGAAGTTTGCAGGAAAGCAGCAACTATTTTGGAAAGCCTCGTGTTGGAGCCACAGAACAAGCCCCTCTTACTGGTGTATGAAAATGCTTTTGCAGAGATGCTCTTTGGGGATGCAAGGTACTCGGACATATTTGCAAGGATATTATATGAACTAACATCACGGCCAAGCAACAAAGTCGCATCAGCTTGTGGGATCTGGGGCATGTAAGCCCAAAGTGCCGTCGTGGGTAGATTTCTGCTGACATCCTGCTGTAAATATTGTTCAACTTGAATATTTATTAGGTAAACATGCCTTTTTATTTCTCTAAGCACTAATTAACGCGTTGTATTGCATGGCTCCCACTAGTTAGCTCTTAAATGCAAAACCCTTTGGCATATGTTATAGAATTATAGTTCTTGGCGGTAGTTCTTTCTCCTTAAGGCGAGTGCACTAATTATGGGCTAGTCCTCAGGGCTTTGGTTCAGTAGTAAGGATGTTGCACATGGTGTGTTGGTTAGACACTTGTTATAGCTTGATCCTTGTCGCGGTATTTAAGTTGGAAGGATAATACAAGTGTGGGCTTATACACCCGATTTCTTCAGCTGAAATTGTACGAGAAGTCTGCAGGGGATTCTCCGATGTGAAAATGAAAAAGGTACACGAATTAGGGGCTAAATGTTGAGATATGAACTGAATAAAACTGAAGTAGTCTCTTTCGTACTGTAAAGAATTTGTGAGACTATATTTTCCCTTACCCTATATATGCACAACTTAAATTTTTTTGATTAAATTGCTTACCACTAAAGTAATTTTGTATCTATACTATACCTCTGTCTGCTGTCTCTGATGACTTATTTCAAGTATGCCAACCCACAAGCCCACAAGCCACGTGAAAATAGCACGGACTAGCCAGTTTTTGGACTGGTAATTGAAAAAATAGCCAGCTTTTGCAAAGTCATTGAAAAATAGCCACTATTTTGCTGCAACACGGAAAGTTCCAGCTTAATATATTGGAAATTGGTGCACCTGTGTATGAACTTCCATCATATTATGCTGGAATATTTTCCGGATTTTGAATAGTATTTTCGTTCAAATTTATCTTTACATGAAAATTGGTTAATTTTCGATTACTTTTGAAACTGTGGTTATTTTTCAATTACCACTTGTAAATTTGGTTATTTTCGAATTTCACCCATGAGAAATTGCTAAAAGATTGACAAATCAAAAATAAAATAAAATACAGGTATACTTGAGAGTGACTCCCTAAAGTGTGATAATGAAGTTGCCTCTAAATATGCAGCAAATTATCTGACTACAGCAAGTTTACAACGTGGGTTGCATTACCTGTCCCTTCAGATAAACACCCCCCCCCCGAAAAAAAGAAAGAAAAAAAACCCACTGTAACTGCAGCTATTTCCTGCTCTTTATGTCCTTAAAAGGCGAATTCAGGATTTTTATTTGATTGTTGCGATCGTTAAGGTTCTTAGCACTGTAGTCATTATAGTTTTAATTTTATGAGTTTAGATTTAATACGTGATGAATTTTTCTGTGAATTTTCACATAAAAATCTATGCTACGCATAAATTCAGATGAACTCGGTGCTGGATCTGTCCCTGTTTATGGCCACCTTCTTGTTACCTTCCCCTTCTCATCTCAGCCATACAAACAGTTGGTTCCATTTTGCTCAGCTATTTGCATGTTCATCCTTACCTTCACTTGAGATTTTTGTGAGTTTTCACATAGAAATCTATGCTCTGCCAAGAAAATACTAGATGTAGATGAACCGATTCTCGACCCTTTGACTTAGGATTAGTCCGTTCTATTTCTCAATGGGGTGGGGAAGGGATATAACTAAGCGGTAGAGTGTCACCTTGACGTGGAGGAAGTGTTAAATGAGAATGGATAAGAGGCTCGTGGGATTGACATGAGGGAGCAGGGATGGCTATATTTCTGATGCTGGAGCCGCCCCATGTGTGGGCCACTTCTTGTCAGCTTCCCCTTCAGCGTACAAACAGCTGGTTCCATCTTTCTCAGCTATTTGCACGTCACCTTCATTTGATGCATTTATTACTTTAGATTTAATACAAAGTTCTAGAGTCACTTGACAGTATACCGCATATACAGCTAGTGATATTGTTGAACAATCACATCCTATGAAAAATGGCTTTCCCTTCGTCGTATTTTATCTAAAGGTCACAATATTTAAGAAATTAAATACGTAAGAATTTTGACATGTAAGTCAAATATATGTGAACTAACAAAATTATCATTTTGAACTAGTGTGGTGAGAGTTTCATGTGTTTTTTATATTCTCCCTCCTTATAAAAGCATGAACTTTTATATCAATAAGTCCCAATAAGTCATGTCATTAATGGGAAAGCATGTAGTGTAAAATTGGGTACGTTTCAATGATGCTAGTTTTGTAACTATGGTCTTATCCACTCTTGAAATCATGTGGTTGGGTTTGCGAACACATACCCAGTGAAATTCTACAAGTGGGGTTTGGAGGTAGTGTATATGCAAACATTACCCCTACTTTTGTGAAAATAGAGAAGTTATTTTCGATACACGTTCGGCTCAAGGAAAGCATAATCCCATCAGTCATGCAAAGGAAAAACGATAGTGGAGTCAAGAAGCAGTAACAACCGCAAGAAAATAAGAGTAAGGTTTGAACAAAATTTGGAATACATAGCTTAATAAAGAATTTACTTTGGCCAATTTTGCATTACCTATTATACAATCATCAGGAAGAAATATTGATAGAAAACAGAAACTGTGATAAAGGGTAGCCCGGTGCATTAAGCTCCCGCTACACGCGGGTTCCATGAAAATATTGACAAAAAACAGAAGGTGTGGTATCACTTTTATAAATAATTAAACAACATTGTACAAGGAAATCTTTTAGGTAACAAAGAATGATAGTAAATAGTAATAGATAACTTTTGCTTTGGTAAAAAATAAAAACCATTTTCAAGAATCAACTGATTGTCACAATTCTAGGCACTTCAACTGGGAAATCATCAATTTCATCCATCCAAGGATTCTTCTCTTTAGCAGGATTAATAGTCCTCAAAGCTTGCCAAACAGCACTGTTACACTTAAATCCTGAGCCAAATGCAATTTGCCATGTTCTATCTCCTTTTCTTATTCTCCCTTTAGCTTCAGAATAAGCCAATTCATACCACAAAGAACTACTTGAAGTATTACCAAACCTATAAAGTGTCATTCTTGATGGCTCCATATGCCACTGGCTGAGCTCGAGATTCTTCTCGAGCTCAGCCAGCACGGCCCTTCCACCGGCATGAATACAGAAATGCTCGAATGCCAACTTGAAATCCGGTATATAAGGCTTGATTTTCATCTTGAAGATTTTTCTCGCGACTAATGTCATGAAAAAAAGGAGTTGCTCGGACATAGGTAGGACTAATGGCCCGAGCGTTGTGATGTTGGTTTTTAATGCTTCCCCTGCAACGGCCATTAGGTCCTTCGATAGGGCAACACCAACCTCCTTATTCTCGTCCTCCTCCTGGAAAACGCAGCCATAGCTCCTGTCATCTGCGCCTTTGTGTGTACGTACTGTGTGAATGAGCTTGTATTTTGAACGACGACGATCTGATGATCTGTTTGATAGCAGTATTGCAGCACCTCCCATTCTGAATATGCAATTTGAGACAAGCATTGATCTATTGTTGCCAAAGTACCAATTGAGTGTTATGTTTTCCATGCTCACTACCAGTGCATAGGAATTAGGATTGACCTGATATACAACATTGACAAAATTAGATAGTTAGCCTTAGAAATATTAATATTTGATATATATATATATATATATATATATATATATATATATATATATTTTCTATAACAACATTTCACTATAACAGCAAAAAGATAGAAGAACAAACGAGGCTGTTATAGAGAAATTTGACTGTACTATGTGAAGGGAGAAAGTTAATGAAACACTTTTTGAGGAGTGGAACAAGCATAAAAAACTGGCAGGTAGCAGACATTGAACATTAATGTGTTCATTCCACTTGAACTACATTAATTCTTGGAAACCAATTTCCACTATAGATTATACTACTTTCCACCTAGGGGCAGATCCAGGATTGCAGTGAACTCGTTATATTGTTAAAACTATGGATTCATATTTAACATTTGTATTAAAATTTTAATAGGTTTTTACGTATATATATCAATACTCTGTACCGAAAGTTATGAGTTCAGTAGATCTTAGACTACATCTGCCTCTGTTTTCCACTTGCATATGTTATTTATCTTTTAAAATTTCTGAATAACTCTTAAGAAAAATATTTAATAGCCGTAAATCATAAAATGTTAAATATTTAAAATGTCAAATATTTTGAAACTAATTTAGTTTGTCAAAAACAACTAATATTTGGGACCGGATACAATATCACATCTCCCTCCCTATAATGGTTATCAAGGAGAAAGGAGTGAAGAAAAGGATGTAGAATAACCATTATCAAACTCAAAAGTACAATAAATTGCGAGAGCCAAAAAAAAGAAGTGTTTAAGTTCTATGCACTGTCACTAATATGGTAACTAACCTACTATTATAGGTCAAGATTCAACAACGACAATAACAAACTTAGTATAATCCCACAAAGTGGAGTCTGGGAGGATAGTGTGTACAAAGATCTTACCCTACCTTGTGAAGGTAGAGAGGCTGTCTGTAGCTTGCCTTCCCTCCTTCTCACTTTGGAAAGATTTTTCAGTATTTTCTTATGATGGCCTGGTCGAGAGAGTACGATACATCGGTGTAAAGCAAGGAGAATTGGTTTTCCCACCTTAAAGTACCGAGCATTTTAGGGGTCTAGAATTTCCTTTAGTTCGTTTATGACTATAATATAAATAATAGGAGTAGGGGGGCGCTAGTGAGCAAGAAAACGGATGCGCTAAGGCGCAACTTCGTGCGGCTGCTACGCCCTTGCTTCTTTCCGATAGACTCTCGGCTCAAGGAAAGATGAAAAGGAAGCAGTAACAACAAGTAGTAATAACAAGCAGTAATAATAGCAAGATAAATGATTGACTGAGGAAGCAACAAACCTGTAATAGTTGTTTGGCAAGGTCAATAGAAATGAGTCCAGCACTACAACCCATACCACCAAGATTATAGCTCATAACATTGCCCCTCATCTTGTAATGGTTAACAATCATAGCAGAAAGTGAAGGAGTTGGATTAAACAAGCTGCAATTCACAACAAGAATCCCAATATCCTTAGCCTTCACTCCGGTTTTCGCCAATAGTTCATCAATAGCACCAAACATCACCATTTCAGCTTCTTTCCTCGCCTCGACCATACTAGGCTCTGCAGGCACTCTCAGAAGCGCCTCCGGGAGATATGTCTTTTGTCCCAATCCTGATCTCTCTAATATCTTCTTTTGAAACGCTAAATTCTCCTCAGTGAAAATCCCGGCTTGTTTTGACCTCTCCATAAAAATTTCCTTAGGACACATAAC